CCTGCCCGAGTGGGAGTTTGCCCGGGAGCACATCGAGTCCTTGGGGCTCGGCCTCGTCATGGTCATGTTCCACCAACTTTGGACGTTGCGCAACCGCGTCAAGTACGAAGACGGCCGCCCGCCGCGAGCCACGTACGTCTTTGGCGTCACCGTCGTTCGCTGGCTTTCCCACGTTCGACACTGGCTCCGGCCCGGCAACACATCCGACGACAAGATCGACGCGCTCCGTCAAGTCATCGACCACCTGCTCGCGCAACCCGCTTACGCCAACCTCCGCGACTCGTTCCGATACGCGTTTCCCACGTGATCAAGATGGGTGCTGCTCAACAACTACATCGAAGGGCTCAGGGGCTTCGGCCCCCACACCCCAGTCTCTTGACGGAGCGGCGCGCGTCCATTGCTTATTTATCGTTCGCGCGACCCGCCAAGAAAGAGCAAGGTATGCATGAGACCATTTTGTAGAAAAAGCAGTGTTAAGGGTTAAAAGTCAAATACACCCGTTTGCCCATTAGCCAAAAGGCCGACATAATAAGGCAACGCTCGGCATGTGCCACAAAGAACACAAGGAAGAAGCTCGATGAAATGGTTCATTTAAATAGGGTTAAACGTCAAATGCACCCGTCTGAACATGAGCCAAAAGGCCGAACTACATCCCAGTCTCTTGACGGAGCGGCGCGCGTCCATGGCTTATGTATCGTACGCGCCACCCGCCAAGGAAGAGCAAGGTATGCATGAGACCAACTTGTAGCAAAAAGCAGTGTTAGGGTTGAAAGTCAAATACACCCATTTGCCCATTAGCCAAATGGCCGAGGGTGCAAGCTAATCAATCTACGAAGCGTGGCTTGGATAGCGGCGGTGTAATATCGATGCGTTGCGTCTCTAGGCAGCAAACGCATAAGCCCTTGCACTCACACTTTACAGCATGGCTCACAGCAGTTGTAGGACGCTGAGCCCGGTCCACTGCCAGATAGGCCGACGCAAGCCGCCCTTGCAACCCTGCTCTCCAGCAGAGCCAAGACGACAACGACGCCTCCGATGCGCCCCATGAAGCGAGCGCCGACACCATGGCTGCGATTGTGGGCCGGTACGAGGCGCTAATAGCTAGAGAAAGCGCCCCTGAGAAGATCTAAGCGATTTAAAAAGGTTGCTAAAGTTTCGATTTCGGATCGAAAAACCTCACGCCTATCTTAGCAGTGCATGACCAAAATGTAAGAAACGTTGGAAAATGCTGGGATCCTTTCCAACGGCCCACTACAAGTCGCTATCGATGGACAGGGGCCTTTGTCGGTCGATAGGCAGCGCGGGCTCGATTGAGTCAACGTAATGGCAAGCTCGTCGGGCTGGATCGTCGTTTTGAGGCTGCTGGACACCGAGAGCACGGCCTCGACGACCAACGCATTGCTGTCGATGGATCGCACAAAAGGTACTTGGGGAAGTTCGGGACTTGCTCGTCGTACGGGACGGTCGCCGACCGGGAAAAGGCTGCAACGTGCCAGCATGCAAGATCTACGAGATTGATTGTCGAGAAAACACGTATAATGCGTTCTCCCCCTTTGACATGTAAAGTATATTACGAGGACATTGTTGATGGCAGGTTCATCCGCTGGCATCGGTCTGGGCGCGAATCTTCTTTTCAATGTACTCGGTGGTGGTTTCGCGCGCTTTGCGTGCTTGCAGCTGCTCGGTCGTGGCAGCCATGCGCGACGCACCTGCGCCAACGCCATCGTTACTGTGCCGACCCTTGGGCATGACCTTGGGTTCTCGTAGTTGTCGGCGAGCTTGAGCAAGGCGAGGCCCGCGTAGTGGCGCGGCTCGGCGTTGACCGACATGATCGCGATCAGCGGTCGGAGCGCGCCCATGCTGACGAGCTTGACCTGGTACTCGCGGTTCGACGCGAGATGCGCCACGATCTGCATACCCCCCTTGCGCACAAAGTCGTCGTGGAACTCGTGGTGCTCGACGGCGAGCGCCAAAATGTACCCGCAGTTGCGCTTCACCTCGAGGTCCGGCTGGCGGCTCTGGTGCACGATATGGGCCAGCGCGCCGAGCTCCAGGAGCTTGGTGAGCACGTGTGCAATTACAGTCCTGTGTGCAATTAGCAATTCGAATCGTGCTTAAAGTTGGTGTTTAAACTGACTACTCTGGTTTAACCTTATGTTTAACGTGGCTTGAAACCGATGGCGTTGCAATTTTGAACGGTCCGATCCATGTGGAAGGTCGTTCTCGCTGCCGCCGTCACCGCCGTCGCGGCCAACCTCTGCAATACCTGCAATGGCAACGGCGTCTGCAACACTGCAACTCGCCGCTGGTACATCTGCGATTACTTGTTTCTCCTAACATGACGTAGCTCGTGCTTTGCCGGGTTTACGGGACCACGCTGTGAATACGTCGCGTGCCCGACCGGCAATGCGTGGTGGGACTTCGCGTCGGCAGTCGACACGGCCCATGCACCGGCAACGTGCTCCAACGTGGGTCTCTGCTCGCCGACAACCGGTGTCTGTGATTGCAGCGCGGGCTTTTCGGGGGCCGCTTGCGAATTCAGTACGCGGCCTGTTAATGGGAGACATAAGGCTAAGCATCCTCGGCGTAGTGGCGTGCCCAGCGTGCCAGAGTGGCCACTGCATCTCGATGCGCGACGCCGCGTCCGCCAATGACGGCATCAACTTCTTCACGTCGACGTCCTACAGCTTATGGGACGCCGACAAGATCTTTGGGTGCCAGTGCAGTTACGGCTACACTGGCTACGATTGCTCGCAGCGGTACCTTTGGCTCGATTCCGGACAGAATGCATTGCTAGTGATTTAGGACGTGTCCCGTGGGTGACGATCCGCTCACGACAGTAGCAGACAACGCCAATGCGTCCACTTTGTTCCTCAAAGGCGGGCGTGGGTAGGGCCAGTCGCCCGAGGTGCAACTGCTAAACTGCCTCTGCAACGGGTGTACCGGGTACTTTGCGCTGTACTATAAAGGCTTCTTGACGGCCAATATCGCACCGTCGGCGACGGCGACACAGCTGACCAACGCGCTACTGGTACAAGATCCTTCGTGGTATGGAACTCACCACAGTCGTTGCACTAGGCGCTGACATCAATTCACGGAATCTCTGTATCGCTTTCTTCGGGCACCACTGTGTGCTCGACGACGGGAACGACGGCATCGATCACATTTACCAACAACGGTGGAGACCTGCCGCTGATCCAGATCCGCAGTGTCTTGTCTGGCACAAACACGATCACGCTCAGCTCCAAGGGCGCTGTCGGAACGTACGGCGGAACGTCAGCTGCGGGCACCACCGAGGTGCAACGCGTAGCACATGTGCCGCATTGTTTTTGATTCTATTGCGAAGGGTCTCCCGTGCTCGGGGCGGGGTGACTGCAACCCTTCGACTGGCATCTGCACTTGTGTTCCCGGGTTTACGAGCAGTAACGGTACGCCCGTCAAGAATGCGCAAGTATGCCACGTGGCTTTCATAACAGGCGCCGGCAACCCAGGCAAATTGGGCGACTGTGGCGCTGGCATGACAGCCGCTTGCCCCAGTATATAATCTGCACAGTGTTGGCCTGCTAATGATGGGCATTTTCTAGCGGTCCTCGGAAAAGTGTGCAACAACCAAGGCTCGTGTGACGCCACCACGCAATACCGCTGCGAGTGCATTCCGCCGTACACTGGGGCGTATTGCACCAACCGTACCGATGGCTATGCTTGAGCACTCGCCAAAAAACACATGTTTCGTAGTGCTCTGTCCCACGGGCGCGGCGTGGTTCGACGGTGCATCGGCGACCAACACGGCCCACGCTGTCGCTCCGTGCTCGAATCGGGTTTTTCAACCTTTCAAAGAGGGATCTTGGACTCATCAACTCACGCATAGGGCATATGCAATCCCTCAACAGGCACGTGCACATGTCAAGCTGGCTTCACGGGCGCCGCCTGTGATCTGCGTACATTGCCCTTGTCGTTCGTTTCGCGGTTGAGTGACGTTGATTTAGTCGCGTGTCCCGGGTCGCCTGCGTGCAGTGGTCAAGGGTCGTGCAAGACAATGCAACAATTGGCAGCGCTTTCGTCGTCCAACGGGGTGCTCATCGGCGCAACGTACGGCAACACCCCCAACTACGCCCCTACGTGGGACTACAACAAAATCCGAGGTTGCTACTGCCAAAAGGTACTCGCTTCATAGTTGTATCCTTCGTGACTCCAAGCGTCTAGAATTTCTACATGGGGCCGTACGTCGGTGCTGTGAACGACTTTCAAGCCTACGACTGCTCGGCGCGTAAGCGATACGATCCCTCCATGGGGCTCATGCGGCCTGATAAGGCTCATGCGCATATGGCGACGATCCGTACCTCTCGGGAACCGTCGACGAGCAACAACAAATATTGTGCACGGCTGACGGTGGCTTCTTCACGCTGCTTTTCGGCAGCATACAACAAGCGCGATATCAGCAAGCGCAACGGCCGCCACCGTGCAGACAGCCCTGCAAGCTCTGGCATCCATCGTATCCGCTACCGTGACTTTTGGTGGTGGCGCGACGACGGTTTGCAGTGCCACTGGCGTTGGTATTTGCATAGACGAATCTCATCCACTTCACAGTGTCTTCATGAATTTGCTAGTTACGACGGTTCGATTTACATATGCCCAAGGAGATTTGCCGCTGCTGATCGCGCCTGACACCGACCTGACGCTGTCGACGGGGGCACCGGCGATTACTGTGACCGAGACAGTTGCGGGCACAAAAGCGAATCTCGAATGCTCGGGTCGTGGCACCTGCGGTACACTCGTGCTTGTGATCACGACTGCTGAGCTTGTGATAGATCGGACGCTCGGGCGCTGCAACTGCTACGACTACTTTTTGAGCTCGGATGGCTATGGCAACGTGGGCACGCGCGGCGATTGCGGGTACTTAACGCCGTACAGCACCCTCTCGACAACGATCACGACAATCACGACAACGACGACAACGACCTCCACCGTGTAGTACGTGGCATTATATCAACGACGTACCCATGAGCCGTTGACAATCCAAACGATGTGTTGACAGTGGCGGGAGTGGGATTTGTGCCTGTATGTGGGCGTCTGTGCCTCTCCTGTCCAGACGATGACAGACACAGACACGTCATCGTCGCACATGTGCTTGGTCCACATGGTAATCTCTGGTGATCTCTGGTGCGAGATACGAAGACAACCCGATTCAGATCTCCTGTGTCTCAGTTTCGGCGATTTGTTCGTGGGCTAATGCGCGACTTTGGCAAATAGACTACATGCGCCTGCTGTAGCTATCTACCGGTATTTGCTGTCGCCATCGTCAGTCAGCCTAAAAATAAGTCATTTAGCCGTAAACCGCCGCTCTCGCCTGAACGCGATGTGCATCGATATGAATATTCAGGGGCGTTTCAGATCGTTCGGCGATCCTACAGAGATCAGACAGGGACTTTTTAATTGAAGCGCGGGATTGACGTGGTGCTACAGCGATGCGGCCACTCTCCAGATCCTCTCCAAAACTGCATCAACAACTCGACCAGCATGCTCAATGACGTAAGCGAGTCGCGCCTCGTGATATCTTGGCCAGATGCTCGTTTGGCACGGTCAAAGGTATTCTCGCATCGTCGACTGCATGTCGATGTGTAGTTAGTTTCAAGTCGAGTGCTCTTGATGAGTTTTATTGCTATGCTCAGTTACAACGAGAACGTGCCTCGTTAGTGCTGCCGAGGCTGGCAGCCGCCTTCTCAGAACATGTGGTCTCATCCCTCGCACGGATATGCATTCATGCCCCATCGGAGACGCAAAGCAGCATCAGCGGTGCCAAGTGGTTTCTTCTAGTTTCAAGCCACTGGTGATGGCACAACTCAATTCGCGGCACGATATGCGCGCGTGGGTACTTGCGGCCACAGCCAACCTGGTCGTTGCGAACCAATGCAACACCGCTGAGAAAGACACCGACTATTGGGGCAACGACTTGTCGACGTCAAGTCAATCAAGCCATGGTGCCTGCTGCAGTTCCTGCGTCAATAACGCCAGGTGCACCCACTATGTCTGGAACAGCTACACCAGTACGTGCATTCTCAAGCAAGGCGTGCCGAGGCCAGCCAGCTCTGTACCCGGTGCGTTTGCCTCCATTTTGTCGCAACCCGCTTCCGACAACGACAAGTGCGACCAAGTGCGAGAGAACACGGA